AACACGATGGAGCGCCCGCGAGCGTGAGCGGCTCGCATCGAGCAGCTCAGTTCGCTGTCTTCACTTGTGTAATGCTCGATTTGTAACACGTTACATTACAGGCAAATGTTACAAGTCAGTCGCCACCTGTAGACGAATGCTATGATCGCCGTAGAACAGGGCATCATCAGTCCACCTGGCATTACGGATTATTTGACCTCAAAAAACACTGCCTTCAAGGCAGTCCGCCTACACGCATTCCGCGACCAGTTCTCATGCATGACTGTTAACGAGTCCTACCTCTATTAAAACATATTTTGTAATGGTAAATAAACTTCTCACTTTACTGTTTTCATGTCTCTGGCGTCGATGTTGACTTATTGCAGATATAAGCGTGATCTTGAAAAGCTAACCTCACTACCTCTTACATATTCAGTGTTTGGTACGAGCGGCTGTTTAAGAGAGAAATTATAAGTTTGAACTGATTTTAAAGTCAATTCGTAAAATAATAGTGTACCATCGAAAATAATACGGACGGAAGGAGAGACGCGGAGTCTGATATGGGCAAAGTCTTCACTGTCCAGGGAATGCATAACAGCAAAGGGGGACATCTTACGTAAGAAACTTTTGTGACATAATTCCCTGAAAGGCATCTCCTACGTTATCTGTGGATCAAATTCAATTGAACTTCATGATATCACGCCCCTTCGTTCAATAACGGGCACTATTCAATTTTTTTTTTTGCATTATCAGGTCAAAGTATCATTTGACTGATCTTGTTAAGTAATTTATGGAATCTGTTACAATTGCAAGAGCCAAATGAGATGGGGAATGTTTCACAAACAGAGATTAATTATAAAATTAGAGAAAGGCCATGGCTTATTTAATAAAACGATCCCAAAATTTGGTCCGGAGAGACTGAGTCAAATCACGAGAGCCGTGTTCAGTATCGTTTCAAGGTAACATGAAACTGTTACAACGCTGAAACACGGACAGCGGAGTCCAGTTGAGTGACGACAGCTCAGAACTCGCAGCGTAGCTAGCAAACGCTGCACTGGTGACTTGCAGACGCGAGATAAGGGGGCAAAGTCCTTCCGTGGTCTTGAAGCATGCAATTTGGTGACATCGGCGGCTTTTATTTGAGCTGTATGTACGATTTCATATCCAGTGTTTTCCTCTGTAATCCAAATTTGATGAGATAGATCTAAAAGTAGTACACACAGGCATATTTTGACTTTCGCGTAAGATCATAACATTTATATAGGTTTATTTATAAACTGAAGTTAGAATTGACAACATTAATCATCATATAATCTATCTTTAAACTCTATATAATCAATGTAGTTATACGTAAAAGCACAGTTAAACCGAAACCAAACTGGAAGCAATAGTGTTCCACAGGTTGCAAGCCTGACTGATTGGAGCTAACGAAGAAAGCAATTTATCTAACAGATTTTGCTATATTTCAGTGTAATGAGTACCAATGAACCACGAAAGTAGGATTACTTTATTTTATCTTTCAAAGTGTTAGCTGGGCTAACACGGTTAACAAGAAAGGTAATAAATAACGCAATTTTTTCCAAATAAATATGTAATATCATGTTTTAAGAACACAGGATTTGAAATTTAAAGTTAAAGCGTTTCAGGAGATTTGTTATAGCTTTGGTAAAATTAATCCGGCCCCCAGTTCTACCTTACTCGCAGTCACTTACCACACACGCAGGTCCATCAACCTTGGAAGTCTGCATGTCGAGTCATGGTTACAAGAAGCGGTGGGCTGTTATTAGATTATTATGTAAATATGAACGTTTGCGACTATGGACAACAGTGAAGTCAGTGATATATTGGCGGAGATTCGAGTTGCTTAATGCATCTATGTAAATTTTAATATCAATGACATAAAATAAAAAAAAATAGTAAGATTTTCACTTTTACAGATGCAAGGAAGGTAAATTAAGGTCTCCAAATAAACTATTTATTGCAGTGATATTGGTGTTTCCTTTCTGTACAAGAAGGGAGACCATGAAATGCAATGAACATTACAGAAGTCTATAAATTAATATACGCAACACTAATAAAAATTAGGAGCCACGGTGGTCTAGCGGTTAGAACGCTGGCCTTGTAATCCTGGGGTCTCGGGTTCGATTCCCGGCGGTGCCCGAGTTTATAACTTGTGTTGGGCAAGGCCGTGGTCTAGGCAACACGGAGTTTTCCTCCGTGGCATCCCAACAATTACTCCATTCACACACAGAAGAAGGCAATGGCAAACCACTTCTGGATCATCTGCCAAGAACGTATATGAACAGGTCCCAGTCCGAGAAAAGGATGGAAGGATCCTGTTCATATGGACCTGTCGTCAGACAGAACACTAAATAAATAAATAAATAAATGGACTTAACCTATTAATCTAATATACAAAGTCGTCACAGATGAACCTTTTTCCAGGTGTTTTCCTACATTGCAGCAGCGTTTGTGAGTTACACCAGAGAAGAAATGACTTTACTGCATAAATACGCAGGAGTCAAATAGCAAATTTTTCCCTGTTTGTGCATAGTATTTTTAGAACAAAAACTTTCTCTATTAATATATGTAAGTGACCGGTATTAATACGCTCATGTCCCACTGATTTCAATGGGCCATCAGCTTAGCGTGTTTAACTACCAACAGCACACAAGAAATACTCTAACATTGTTCATGAACCGAAAGGCATTTGAGTAGATTATATGTTCAAGGTTATAATTCGTGCCACTTGAGTTTAAAAATCTTTCCACCTTAAACCCTTACATTCACGTATGTTCAAAATGGCGTCTCAAGTAGAAAAATCTAAATGCGTGCTGTTGTTTCGCTGTTGTATCTGTGCTGTTACAGTGTCAAGGAGATTTCGTACCGTGTTTGGAAGACAGCATCCAACACGTTTGTCGATTTGCAAGTGGTATAAATTGTTCATTAGTAGAGGAAAAATCCCTAGAAGACTTGTTTAACAGCGAGTGGACTTATATCGAATACAGATATGACATCTGCTGGACCACTCATGGTCTGAAAACGTGTTTATTTAACCCATTTAAATGTACTTAGGTTTCACTCCTGTGCGTCTTAATTCATGATAAAATGGCATAGGCCTAATTGCATTTCATGGCAGTAGGCAGCTTTGATATTTCAATGCGTTAATTATGAATGTTGTCAAATTCTTCTGCTACTACTGAATGATAATTTTTATTTAGTGTTCTGTCTAACGACAGGTCCATATGAACAGGATCCTTCCATCCTTTTCTCGGACTGGGACCTGTTCATATACGTTCTTGGCAGATGATCCAGAAGTGGTTTGCCATTGCCTTCTTCTGTGTGTGAATGGAGTAATTGTTGGGATGCCCCGGAGGAAAACTCCGTGTTGCCTAGACCACGGCCTTGCCCAACACAAGTTATAAGTCTGAGCACCGCCGGGAATTGAACCCGGGACCCCAGGATTACAAGGCCAGCGTTCTAACCGTTAGACCACCGTGGGGTGTTGTTAAGTTCATACGAAATAAATAATGCTACCGGGCATTCTTACCTAAATGTAAAAAGTACCTAGAACGATGAATAAATAATTCTGATAGTAGAATTTCAATTGTAATAATTATATGTTTTTGATACAAACTCTTAAAATTAACAAAATTCTCGCATGTGGACAGCGTTTACTCAAAATGTGTATGATATTTAAAGAGACGTTATGAATTCAGCAATCTTGGAATTAATTCGTTGTCATCGCAATATGTAAATGCCCAGTGGCCGTTTGAGTTATCTGGGTTGCACTTCACGGACTATTTATAGATTACGTAGTTTCGAGAATGTATTATAAACAAATGACACGCGGACATATCGGTCCTCATTACTATGGACCACAAACTTGTGAGTCCAATTCAAGTTCTATCCCTTTTGAACATTCCCAATGGCTTATTCTTATAGAAAGTTGAAGGACAGTGATAACAAATCACAAAGGACATTCTGATTAGGAAATGGGCCAAACAAATATTGACTCTACGAACTACACATTTTAAATGACCTAAATAGTTAAATGTGTGCATAGAATTTACTCGGTGTACTTTGGGGTCTCGGGTTCGATTCCCGGCGGTGCCCGAATTTATAACTTGTGTTGGGCAAGGCCGTGGTCTAGGCAAC